AATTTATAATCGCTTAATATGGGATTTATCAGATGCGTCAATCGGAACTAACTATTCACTGCTACTGAAACAAATAAAGTTAATCCTTTACTCGAAGTTTTTATTCATTCATTTTACCAACAACTCGAAGCATTTTCAATAGAAAAATCATATTGACTCATAAGTAAATCATATGCGCATTAAAAGAAAAGTTATAATTCTCAAATCCATTTGTCCTTATGTTATGAACTGAAAATTATTTGCATTGTCTCCATTGTAGAGTCCTCAAGTTTGAAGACAAATTTTAAATGGCTTTGCTCTGGAACCCTCGAATGCAAAGGGTTAAAATATTATGTTGTGTTATACTTTCAACGAATCTTGACTACGTAAACTACAATTGAAAGTAAACTTCAAATTATTATAAAATGTGCAAAATAACTTTCTTTGAGTTAAATTCATCTCATTTGAATTGTACCATGAGTCGGGTTCAAATTTCATACTTAATGTAATTCTTCATTCCTTGTCACAAGAAAATGATAAAAATAGGGACTCAATCAAATGTAAGGTATACGATCAATTCACGAAAAATGTTAAATAACTATTTTTCAAATACAAATTTTGTCAGAATTTGTTTTTTCTACATCTGAACTCATTTTTTTGTTGTACTTGATAAAACTCGAAATATAGAAGACAATAATGAAAATCCGCGCATACAGTTAAGAGATTTGATCAAATCACTTACTTTCTTTAGGGAAATCACCCCACAGAGTTGTTATTTTAACATCCTCCGTCAATTGATCATATACTTTAGAGATTTGATCAAATCTTTATTTCTATCATCTGCCTGCGACATGTATAACTTATTGATTATTTGGTTCTTAAATTTATTGAGAACCTGGCTCTGGATTAGTCACTCAAAATTTTAGTAAGTGGCTTTTAGAATAAAATAATATGAAATATAATAAAATTTCAACAATATCCGTTTCTCAGAACAAAACGTTAAAATGCTCAAGCAATATTTTAAACATTGAATTTTTAGCGCCATCCTATTATGGAGGAACATTAACCCTCTGACTTATAATATCGTGCCATGCGATAGTCGTGATGCATATTATACTTCAAATGTAATAAATCAGTATTACATTCGCAACACGATCGAATATGAAGTTTAATACCAATTATAATTTGCATAATAAAAGATTTCTAAATTTTTTAATTTCTGAATTAGAAATTTGTTTAATTTCTAAATACCTAAATCAAAAAGTTTGAAAGTATCCAAATGTCTAAATACCGAAATCTAAAAAATTCAAATATCTAAGTAGATAACGTCAAAATGTGAAGCTTCCAAACGTCTAAATACCTAAATTTAAAAATTTGAAAATTTCCAAATATCTAAATACGTAAATCTAAAAAACTGAATGTCTCCAAATGTCTAAGTATATAAACCTACAACTATGAAAGTTATTAAATTTGAAATTTCATAGCTTTAAAAATATGGTAGTTTGTAAATTAGAAATGGTGAAAATTTATTTCATTAATTTGAGAAATAGTGATAGCCCTTAATTCATAGTGAATTTATGGTTTCATAGAACCAAAAAACTTCACTTGAAGGGACCAAGAGAATGTTCCACTCAATTTCAATTCAATTTAATTTAGTTACGATAAAAGTTTTGTCATATAATAACTAAACTACACAATACCATTATAGCATTTTATTTTGTCCCATTACTTTTATATTTATACCATTATTAGAAATACATAATTATACTTTGATTTGTTTATCATGTAGTAAAAATTATTGATAAATAATCAGTATTTCATTCACAATTAACGATATATCGATAATATTGTTCGGAGCTCCTCAAGGATAGTACATAATTTTATCATGTAAATCAACCTATTCTTGTCTGAACTTTCAACCTAACCACACACGTCGGTTATAATAATAAGATTACTGCAACTCATTTCAACAAATAGGAATAAATAAATATTAATAATAAAATTTCGCTTACTTCCAGTACATACTTACCTCAATTAACACGATTCAAGCTAACATTTTAATCTTTGATATATTAAATTGTCAATAACATTTTGATACTAACCGATGAATAGCGCGTTCAGTTATACTGTAGTGTACGTGACGAAAATGTACGTAACGTGGTAAAAGTTGAAAGTGTACAAAATACAATGATAATATTAAAAACTGTAATCAACATTTTTCTAACTTATAAACGATTCTTAAAAGTATATAAACAGAGTTATTAATTATGCTTTCACCATAATATTATACAATTCTATTAAAAAAAGACCGAACATCATATTTTGTTCTTTGTTATTATTTTTTTACTTATAATTTTTATTCTTCGTCGTTTAATGAGTTAAGTGTGTTTGACGACTATATCCGTCATGGAGATGTGGCTGAATTTTGTGTCATGACGACTATATCCGTCATGTGTAAAATTTTGTTACAATTTGATATTTAAATTGTAATTTTAGCGAAAATTAAATTATATTCGTATATTATAATATGTTTTAAATGTTTAGAGGTCAACACGAAATGAAATAAACAAATAAAAAATGTAAATGATTTGAGATGGATTCATGAATCTTTGAGAGCTAATTCGTCATAGCTTGATTATCGCGACACACACTGGTGCGCACATTGCAAAAAGATCGTCATAGTTAACTGGTTAATTGAATATGTGAAAAGAAAAATCGACCTAAATCACCGGCAGTTATAAGTCATGCGATACTGAGATTTGAAGACTAGAATATATGCAGAAAATATTTGACAACATCGATGTCGATACTGATAAAAATCGATAGGAAACATTTCGATATTATTCATAACGTTATCGATAACAGCACCTTTACCTTTACAATGCAACTACTTGACGAATGTCACGTCTATTATTCGTAGTATGAGAACACCGTTACATGTGTTATTGACTATTCCGTCAAATCTCTCAAAAACATATCATCGACTGCTGAGTCGATTGACTTTAAAATACACACATAGAAAAATTGATTTCATACTACTGGCCCGTATCGATTTCACGGTGGCCCGTGCCATATATCCCACAACGTGTATGCGCATACCTAACTCGTACAGGACGCACCGAAGCGTACGGATACCGACATTGTACCTTCTATTTCTGGAATTCGATGCGATCTTATCTCGACTTCGAACCAGCCACGACCCCCGCGAAGAGGCTCTTTGATTTACTATGGGGGAAAGAAGAAAAAGAACGGTAACGCAACTCTGAGGACAGGAGTCATACGTACGAGAGTGATAATTGTAGATACGCGATTTGCAAATAAACATTGTTTCCGTTTTAGCGCAAACAAAAAATTTTTAATGGACGAGTGAAAGTATTTCCAGCCGCACATATGTCTTCAATAAGTGGTAATTGTAGGACAAGGCAGACCTAACCGATTCCAATGACCTTGAAATATTAGAAAGAAAACATTTTGTGTCATTTTTATTTCTACATATAGTCATCGTTTACTCTTAGTTTCCGAGATAATCGCAAAAAAGTTTAATTAAATTTGCGCTTTGATCGTCATGTTCTAGTACCATATATCGAATTGTTTATTCTTTTAAATATCTTCACTATAAATACTATATCTCAATGTGACATCGACTATAATGTAACAAAACCATGGATGACATGATAAAATTCGAACATTGACATGTTTATATATAGTATACCTGAGTATATTAGCGGTAATAAAAAAAACAATGGTACCGTGAATATACAGTAGCAAAATATGTTATGTTGTGTGTAGTATTGTATACTGTAAGTTTAACCGTAGTTTTTGACATGTGCTTAGGAACTAAGGTCGAAAAATGATTACATAAGAAAGCCAGTGGTGCTCTGCATCAGAGCAGCCGTTCCGTATCGCGCCTATATTAATGCGATTACGCTCTGGCGTGGAGCACCACCGCCCTTGTTTCGTCTCGCGCGTTGCTATTTTGTTTTTTGGCATCGTAAAAAAAACGACGTTGCAACTTTTTAGGGGTGCATTTTAAAGGTGAAAATCAGCTCTATCGCGTGGTATAGTTCAATTTTCTACAAGACCCTTACTTTTTAAGATAAATTGAAAAATATACGCAAAAATTGGTGCAAAATCCATGTCTCTCGGCGTTCAATGGTCATTTAAACATGTTTAAACATTCAGAATGCATAAAACGCAGGTATCGTTGTATTCGGGAAAGTCTATAGAATTTTTTGATGTAAACAGAATCTTAGTATCTTTTATAGTTACCTCACAAAATTGGTTCAAATTTAAAAAATGTGTTTTTTTTTCAAACTTAAATTTCTCAAAAACTGTACGTGCTGCAGAAAAACGGGTTGCAGATTCGTAATCAGCGCGAAAAAGGCTATAAGAATCACTGGACGAAATTGGAAACGTCGAAAAAAAGTCAAAATTTGTTGGACAGTGTAATTACTACGTTATATGCCTCACAAAATATAAAACTCTACCAAATAAGTTTTGACAAAACGATAATCGGAAGACTGACTTTGACAACGCATGTCAAGTTAGGGTGCCAGTAATTTACATATTTGTCAAATTACTTTGTTCAACATTTTGGGTTTCACTACAATTTTATTGTATGCTGGTGCGCCGTAGGCCACGAGGCACGTGTTTCCCGCCAATAGTTATTGGCTGCGACATTACGATTCATGGTATATATGTATATGTATTTATAATGAAACGATTATATAATATAAATAATTCATTAGAATCTTGTCCTTAATATATTATATTACTCGAAAATTCGTATACATTAATACACGTGTATATATATTTCGAAATACAGAACACATTATTTTTAGGTTAGATACATTATATTTAACTGAAAGACACGACTAAAATAATATATAGTTTAGTACATTTTGATTAAATGGTACGAAATAATTACTGTAAAATTCATATGCCTACAGTTAATGCATGGGAAAGTTTTTGAAAATATATTTGTTTCAAAAATCTATTTATTTAGTTATAACAGTACTTACCTCCTTCAGAGGTACCTTGAACGGCAAAATTTTTGTACCCTTTATTACTGAACCATACGGTTTATATTCCAACCACCTGTAATACAGAACAAAAAAGAAAATATTTTAACTTAACAAAAATATCGGAAATGATACAAAACAAGAATATGCCTGCATATACATAGATATATTGTGGATTAAGTAACATATATACAATATTTGTACGGGTACATGCAACAAGTGATATTGATAAAAAAATCAAGTACCGCCATGTGACTATTTACCCGATATTACTGCCTGGGAAAATTATGAACAATTGAAACTTTTTATATTTAATAACAGTATCGTTTCAAGAAAATTTACGTTTCGGAAAAAATAGAAAAAAATACAAATTTATCAACAAATATATTTTAATTTATTTCACATGACAATTATTATTTATATAAACGAAAAAGCACCCTCTATTAAAAATTTTGACAATGATAAAGGGCACGTTTCTCGACCGATAAATTAGCTTCCACATAAACCGCGACAAGAAATACATTCAGAAATATCAAAATTTTTTATTGTGAACTGTAATTATGTAGCACATAATCATCAATTTTTATAATAACACTGTAATTTATAATTAAATAAACATTAATTGCAATCCTAGCTTAACAATTAAAGATTAAAAACACGATGAAAAGTCGGCATAACATAACCTCTTTACAATGTGACCTCTGTTTAAGTCCAACAAACAAGTTGTTTCTAATTTTCTAACAAATTCAACGGCATTACGTAAAATAGAAAATAAATAATAGTTACTTTTCAGGTATCGACTTCGGCATATTCGTCACTTCTTTAGGTATTTTTATGAGAAATTGAAAGCATAACACAAAAACGCAATTCCACTACCACAGCATGCATACGCAGCAGACAGATGCAATCATTGGCTGTCGCGACGCAGAACGATTAATCGATCGCTCGATTTTCGCGCGCAACGTCATGTTAATAGATGGACTCATAACCACTTTAGTTATTTCATACATTTCGTATAAAATATGAATCAAAATAAATAAAATGCTTACTCCTGAAACGTTTTCATCATAATGTGTATATGATTTATATAATTTAAAAATATTTTAACATATTTCATACCTAATGAATGGATCAACATACACTTAACAATATTTAACTAGCAACTGAATGTTTGGATTCTTCATTTCCTATGCGTACAAATATCATTTAATAAATATGACTGTGGGAAAAACGAGAAACAAAATGTTTTTAACAGTTAAGGTTTTTATTAGCTCGTAGGACACTGTATGTCACCCTCTTTTGTTGCCTTCAATTGCAGTATTTCATTCAGCACTTTTTTCTCCAATTCCAAAAGTGCAGGCGGTTTTTTATACTATAAAAAAGTGAACATCAGATTTACAAGGAACTGATTAAAAGATATTAAGTCATTTTCATACCGTAATGATTAATGTGTTATGTTGATGAGTAAAAGATATCCTTTCTTGCTCAGGTTTTAATCCAACACGTTCTAAATCTGGAACTCTCAGTTTTTTGAAATATTTTTTGTTACTTGTACGAACAGTTATTGTTCCATCATCCTCAGCAGTGATTGAATATATATTCTGAGGATATGATAAATTTCTTATACGCCACTCAAGTGCTGTTTTTGTAATCCTTCTGGTAATAAATGGCTATAGAAATGTAATATAATAATTAAGGTTATTTAACAAATGTTTCGGTTTTGGTTATATTTGTAAATATAGTTTTGCAATATATAAAATAAACTATACATACAGCACTTAAACTTTCTTGAATTCCACAGACTTCAATGTTATCTTGCTTAGGCTCAGGATCTCCAATTTCTACATTCCAACCTTTACTTTGACCAAGATTACCTTTTTCTTTCCATGCTCTTCGTACCAAAACATTTGTTTCTAAATGGTATTCTTCTACCATTTCCCTGCCATCTTCCATCAGGAAATGAATCTTTCTCTTTCCTATAAAACATTCATCAAAAATTGTAAAACACTGAGTACTGAAATCAAATTCTGAAAACTCTAAAAGCATATAAAACAAAATAATAATATTTACTTATTAACAAAATATAAAAATTAAGTATTTTCCAATTAACGTATATATTAATATTAATAGTTTGATAAAACTTACATTTTAATATAGAACATTTTTGCTATAATAAGGACAAAGTAAGTTTCAAGTGACAGCAATTTATTGATTAAACATTTTAGAGGTTAAAGGTGCACTTTCTAGAGTATTTAATGTAAAATTATAATTAAAATAAAATACTGATCTAAAAAGAAAAAATAACATGAACTTTATAAATCAAATATTAATAAACTTTTCAATAATATTACCGTTTTGAATAATTGCGGTTTTCTTAGCATTTTGAATGAGACTTAACCACGGTTCCGGTGCCATTGATAAACAGTGAGTTTCTTAGCAACTGCAATATAACAATTAAGATTTTATCGTGACGTAAAAAACATTGAATTGCAAATGGTAATAAACTATCGTTTAATCCACTGAAGAAGTATATGTTTCATACAATTTTATAATTTCTTATCAACTGAAATTTAATAAATATTTTAGAGATTTAAATGAATTTTTATTGAATTACTAAACCTCTTTATCAATTGTAAACATCTTTCTAATTTATTATTGAATTTGCAACTTAAAACCTTCACATAATTTTACGACCTCTGTCCAGATTAATCTTGAGGGCCTCATGCGGTTAAACTGTGAAACTTCGGACAAAATTTCATATGCCTTTTCTGCATTTCCTTCTACAAAGGAGACAAGAATAGCTATCATATCAATATACAGAATACAAATAGAACATGTACATAATTATTTTGAAATTCAAAGATTTTGAGGTGAAAAAGCAATATGATTGTATGATTCTTTTTTTAATACTGTTCATGCAATTATACAATGACATACTGGACCACTGAAATTTGGTTTTTAAAATTTAGGAAACAGATTTTTTAACGTAATTTTATTTTTCATCGCTTCCGTAAGTGTAGTATGATTTTGTAAAATTATTAATCCTAAAATTATAAATATTTTTAGAATTATTTAATAAATGGTTCTTGCAAAGCAGGAAATAATTAATAATAATAGATACCTTTAAACATAATACAAATCAAACTATGTATAGTTTCCAATGTATTTTAATTATTTGAAAAAAGATAGTTAATTCAAATTATCTTACATTTACAGATATTTTAGTATTTTATTATGACAAATATTACTTAAATAGATTTTATACATTATAAATTTTCATGAAATTGTAGAGGAAGTAAATTAAATTATATATATTTGGATATTAAAAGCATAAACTGTGAATATATATCAATTTTTAATAAGTATATGTTTTAATTACGTACTATGTTACATATTTCACGAATATTACAATTTTAAAACTTTTACATTTTTATTGAATTATAGTATTATTATCAAGATGCAGACATTTAAATATGATATTAATGTGAAGTTTATATAATAATTAATTGTACAATATAAGTTAATTACTAATTACTGATTAGTATTGCGATTTAAATACAATATATTAGCAATTTTGTATAAAATTTGATTTGTCTAATAGCCAATTTTTCTTGTACAACCTTTACTAGCATATTCTGTAAGAAAAGTAAACTAAAAATATCACATAAACATTCTTAAATACTTATTAGGTTGTTAGTTCACCATTAAAATGTCACCTTCTATTTGAGTACAAAAGTAGCATCTACTGAAAAAAGTATACATTGTACTTTTGGAATACTGTAAAAAAATAATTTATTGAACATTTGTGTTAGAGGCTGATGCAAAGAATTTGTAGCATATTTGTTTTCTTATAATAATAATAATGAACATTTTGAATTAATGTAAATTACTAATCTATTCCACTGTGATATTATATAAGGAAAGTAGCCACTGTCATTTTGTGTTTTTGCTATTACTATTATATTACTATTACTTTTTAATAAATTATTAACTCAATGAAGACAAAATTTTTTTCTTCATTCTTTCTTGAATATGTTAGTACAAGTTTGTAAAAAAACTGATTATATATATTCACACCTTGCGTTTTTATACATATTTGGATATAGGAGTACAAAATGTCTGTCTGATTCGTTTTATAAAAATTTATTAATATATACTGTTTTATAACATATTGTGGATACAAAGATCTACATATATGTATATACATATTTAAATTTAACATTTCCAGGAATATATACTGTTAAATAACATTCGTTTATTTCAAAGATTAGCGCCATTCAAAGATTAACTTTGTGCAAGAATATTTAATTTATTCATAACTAATATGGTGAAAAAAACTGTTTCATTGATTTGCTGAATAGTTTAATAAATGGATATAGAATCATTTAAAAAAATAGCTTGATTTAGTTAATATCGAAGTGTGTAATGTAGCATAAAAATAAAACAAGATATGAATAAAATATAATGAAATAATAACGAAAGTAAAATGCATTCTGGAAATAGGAATGAAACAGCATTCGTTAAGAAAATTTTAACATTATATATTTTGGAAAGCTGTGTTCTTAATGTTGCAACGTTTAAAATTTTTCATTTGGTGTTAATTTCGATACTTTACTACAATTAGAAAATTTTACAATCAAAATACTTGTTCATACTTGATCGCATAGATGTTACTATAATACTACACTTTAGTAGCATTGCTTTTTCGTTTGTCTGAAACAATGTAAGGATAGAATAAGTATTATGCATGTACGATACCAAAGTATATACAGTACTTTCCCCAAAGGTTTATTCAGCTTTATTTATACAATATAGAAATTTAATGACAATGAAAGGTCTTAAAATATGATCAGATAAAATCGAAGGTTCATATAAATCTGGTTCGTTTGTACAGTCCACGAACAGAGTAATTATAAATTATTTGTTTTTACGATAGTTCTTAACAACGTGGTCTCCGCTCGCTAAGTACAGTATGTAAAGGCAGCCTACACCCAATAGTATAAATACAATTGTGTATGTAAATATTAATAAAGAGTTGACTGTTATAAATTGTCGGCATAAACAGCATATCCTTTTCAATTATTTTTATCATGATAACGTGTATGTATATACGCATATATACATATATGCGTGAACATACATACATATGTTCTATATATATTTATTTATATATATAATATTTATAGAAAATTATTCTACCTACATTAATATATACATGTAAAGGCAAATGTGACATACCTGAACTTTACTCGTTTCTTATTTTATAAAAATATGTGTATTTATTACGTTTGTTCGTATTTTAGTCAATACTATTATTAATATTGTAACAGTACACAACACATCGCGTTAAAAGTATGCACACAGTCACATTATTTACTCTATATTTTCACCATTGTATATTACAGTTGATTGTTAATATATTTACTTGTATGGACTGAAATGTAATATTTTTGGAACAGTTTTTGTACAGTATATTAAGTAGTTCATTGAACTATTTATAATATTCAAGGTTTCTGACATTTGCCTTTTATCGTTTCGATTGTTCCTTTCGTTTAATTTTAAATTTGAATGCAGACTTAATTTTGCATTACACCTTATTGACAGTTTTGTCATCAAATTACAAACAATTTAAAGCTGCAAGAATATTTTTAAATAAAGTAACAGCAATAAAATTATTTGTTTTACTGGCGTTATTACATTATTTTTTACCTCATTTACGTCGAGTTGTATATAACACACTCACGACAGTGCTTTTTGCACTTTTATTCAATAGAATATGATGTTTGGCAAGTTTATCAATTTTGTAAGTAACATCATTTAGTTGATTAAAATTGTTTAATTAATCACACTTCAATACGATCGTAAACACTTAACATCTATGTCACTTACATATCAATTAAATCATGTATAATATACTCATAGATGAAGTAACTGAACCGAGGTGTATTAAAATTTGTCTTAAAGGAATAAACATGTTCAATCGTTATATACATAACAGTTTGTAATGTAATTACGGCGCCTAAACAATGTACTTTTATACATGCATGTTTTGGGAAATTAAAAATTATAATAGATATTTGCCAAATGAAAGAGAACAACAAAACAAAAGAAAATCAGGACTGTCATCATCGTAACTGTTCTTCTCAGTTTTAATAGAATAAAATGATATTTCAAAGGTATTTTTTTGTAGTACTATTTTCTTTTTTAGAAAACATTAATGTATATTCATGTTTACATCATTGTTTAAAGTAATAAATAAAACCATTTAATTTAAATATTACAGATTTTCAGAGTGTTGTTCACTTTTTTCTATTTGTGTAGTGCTTTGATTTCTTTATGCAATATTACTATATGTACAATCAGTATCTCTATGTTTGGTGATTATCCTTCGATCTCAAAGAAACCATACATCAATGCGAATCTCTGAAATATCTGAAAAACTTCGTTGTTTATTCAAACATGATGCAGAATATACCAAATATTAGCAACAAGTATTTTTTTCGTGACGAATTTTTTATTTATTTTATTGTACTTAAAATTGTAAGAGTGTTTTCTTCGTAGCACCGCATACATCCTCAAGAGACTTTTAACTGCGATCACCATATCGAGCAAAATTTTCTAATCAAACGTTTTATAAAACGTTAGCTTATGATAGCTTCATTCCTTGTGTTCAGGATCAGGTTTCGTTTTTGGTTCCATTGTCGTGGAACGTGGGTGATGAGGATTTGTTTGATTCCTTGGCACTAACAATACATTTCCATCAGCAGATTGTTGCAAACTGTATTCGTATGGATGGTATTGGTTGCCATCGGGATCTCGTAGAGACTAAAGATTAAATAATATCATTATTAATTCACCTTACGTATTTGAAGTAAATAACGACAGGTTTTTCTCCTAACCCTTTCGCTATAGTTGTTTCTTATGAAATTGTTTCCCTATGTTTATAAATTAAATTGTATCTACATACACAATTATATATGTATACATATTGTGTGTTTAAGAAATTTTCAGACTGATTCTTTCCTGGATTATGGTAACAGTTCTACAAAACTTTAAACTAAACAGACTTTAATATCCATATTAAATTATTGCACGCAAGAAGACAGTTGTTCACAGTAGCGAAAAGGTTAAGGCGAATTATACTGTAATGAATGAGGATTAGTAGTTATGCACTTACTTGAAACACATGACGATAAAGTTGACTAAATTTATCTTTAACGCGTTGCCTCTCAATTAGCATAAACTCTCGTTCACGGATGAGTCTCATTTTGCGGTCCCTCATCTCTTTTACTTCATCGGCGAGGCTTATAATTTGATCTAGTTTACGCTTACGGCAATTTTGAGCGGCTACTTTATTCTTGCCTCGTCTTCTGATGTCACGTATCAGAGACAATTGAGCTTCACTGAGATCGTATTTGCTAAGACGTTCATTAAATTCGTCCATAGGAAGATTAATAATATCGTTTACTGGAATGGGCACATTCAACGCCCTAGCTCTTTTCTCGTCCCTAGTTAAATGTTCCTCACCCTCACTTTTACGCACTGAAACAGGAAAAGAATATTTCAAAAATCTAAGATCACGGCAATTTGTAAGACGACTAAATACGATGACGAAACTTACCTTTTTTATCGCGGGAGACGGGGCGTTGAAGAGATCCGGAACTTTCCGCAGGTAAATGATACGTGTGATTATGATGAACGTGCTCTATAGCAGAACGTCCTGAAAGTAGAAAATGGTTGTTACTTAACATTCACCTAATATTTCATCGATATGAAATATTGTAAATATTATATAGGAAATCAAGGATTTTAATAGCATACATGTGGGAATGAAGAAATCTATCGATCTTACCAGATTGATGACGGGTGAAATCTACGCTACAGCTATATTTCATTTCCGGTTGTGGCCCAGCAGCACCTTCGATTGGCCCAGAATAAGCATTTCCTGGTGCACCAGCACCAACTGTATGCGAATCGTAGTCATATTTCATTGGAGTAGTCGGATGTGCGGTAGCTCCCAAAGGTGAACCTATTATAAACAGTGTAAAATTAAAATATAAATATATTGTTTTTACATATTCTAAAACTTTTTACAATTCAATGTGACAATTATTTACTACTAGAGAATTAAAAAACTGGAAGGTTGTATATAAAAATGTTAACAATGACCTTGAAAACTTTTTAATTTAATATCGTTTACTAAAACGCATTATCTACGAAATTGTTTCTGCAATGTTGGAGTAACTAATACATCGAACTTTAATTAATCGCAAAGAGGAAAAGCATCGTATTAGTTTTTTATTTTAAATGTACTAACCAGTTCCTTGTTCCTGAAAGTATCGTTTTGCAAACATTTGATGTTTTTTCTGCGCAACTGGAGGCATGGAACGCTCTGTTTGACATCTTGGAGAACCAGCGTTTCTTCCGGAAACGGAGTAGCTGCAATCGTATGACATACGATATTTGCTGAAAGCAGAAAAAACAAAAAATCACATATACATATAATACTCTGTCTAACAGAAATGATTAAACTTATTGATTTGTCTAGTTTATCATACCACTCTTACAAGGCTGTTGATTTAACTTAATGTAAAAATAATAAATTACTTGTGTAATGCAAAGAAAACTCTGTTATTCTAATGCGTATGTTCAAAATTATATACTAAAAAAGAAATCTGTAATTCTACATATCTAAAAATGTCTTATGATCAAAATTCAACGTTTTACTAAACGACGATGCATATCAAATTTGTGGAATAATTTTCTTAAGAATTCATTATTGTTGTTGAGTAATCAACTCTTTTTCTATTTTTTTAAATTTAACACCTGACGAAACGTAGTGGAAATTAATACGTTGCATGACGTGTCGAACACTGAGGGGTCACCGGTGATCGACAGCAAAAAAACATATTATAAATGATGTAACCTGTAATCGCTATTTGGTTCAATACAGGAAAATATGTTTGTATCTTAAAATAACAAAACAATATTGATATTTTCAGAAATATCACGTGAGTACCGAAACAATCAACTTTTATCTTTATGTTTTAGACATTTTGAATCTACTTTTTGTGTGCATTGTATATTTAAAAGCATTTAAAAGTTCTATCTGCTTTCAGTAAAATTAGTGAAAGTGAAGATAAGTTCAAATAGTAGCGGATCGAAGAAGTATTGATAACTAAGTTTTATTTTAGTAATTATAGTTATTTAATACATCTTTTTATTTTTAAGTGAAAATAAATAACATAACGCAATGTATAATAAATTTAAAGCAGTAGGCTATTTAATTTTAAATAAAATTTTAAATAATGTAATGTAATGTAAGAAAATAGTACGTAGTAATACTTTTTCGATTCACCATACTTTATTCAACCCTTTCACTATTAAAGGCGATGGTAATCATTAAGCGACCATTGTATATTATAAGTAACTAGAGGCTCTTGATACTTGGAGAAGAACAAAATGTGTAAAGTGTAATGCATTTCATAAACTACAGTTTTATCGAAGTAACCCAACACAGAAATAAGATACTATAAATTGCATAAGATGCGAATGTTTTTTTTTTCAAATAAGATAGATAAACACTGTAAAGTAGATAAGTTTGGATAATAGAAAGTTAATTACAAAAGATTTTTAGCTAATTTTTAGAAATATATATGATTAGTAAATTTGTCAAATTAGTACATATTTTGGTGAAATAATATCAATCCGTAACTGGTAACGAATTTGAATATAATAAAAATTTCAAGTTTTATAATTTTTTGTATTGCTATCTATTTTTGTTCGAATTTTCAATGAGTTGTTTATGTATTAGTATAATTGGGGCCATCTTATATGTACGAAGCAGTATTATACAAATTTTGAAACACCGGTTCCTCCTTCGTTTGAAAGTCAATGAAAGTAAGTAATTAAAACGGTAAACATTTCTGCAATTGCAAAGACACTGATATAAATGAATACACATCGATGTTATACAGACACTGTACATTCTGAAACGTCTTAAACAGCGGAATACAAATAAATTTTATTGTTTATAGAATCTTTCGAAATGACACCTTTTAAGTTCTTGACCAAACATGCCGAGTTAATTTGTCATTCTAAACTTCTTTCAGAAGATAAACATACATTTTTTAATATGTACAAAATGACTTTCTTTTAGTAAAAAAATTACCCTATTAATAAGTTAACCATCCTTGTGCGATGAAATCAATTCCACACAGCAATTTTGACCATACATAAAACTCTAAAAAGAATCCTTACATATCTAATAAATAAAACAAATCTCTATTTTCTTTCCTTCAACTTGACTTTACTGTGTACTGTATACTTTGCTGTGAAAGCAATTTTAAAGTTCGCAAAGTTATTCTTTAAATACGTAATAAATGCCTCGGTATACCTACATTAGAGATTAAATTCTTTAGCACTAGGAGAAGCGTTTAAAATATACAACGTTATCGTTCTCATAGGAATTTGTTTATTCGATATTCTGACGTATTTGTTAGAAAAAGCTTCCAGCGCAACCGCAGCCTTACGCGATAAAAGTGGTACGTCACCGGTTACGGACTAATGTTTAGAAAACAGTTGAATCACCTAGCATAGTCCATAGTGTAATGAGAATCGGCTTGTGTGTGGCTGGAATTAGATCCAGTTTCCATCCATTCACCATCTGAAAGGGATGGTACACGTTCACTACCCATGCTACTGACAGCACTATCGCTGGATGCATCCATCCTTTCATCTGTTACACCAGGAAGTGTCGTAACGCCTGTGGCCGATGGAGTCGTTCCACCACCTGTCTGAACTCCTGGCAAGGCCGCTGCTCCCGTTGGACCAGAAGCATTATTGTTACCATTATCTAACATACGCATGGTGTATATGCCTGAAACACATTTTAATGACAGATTAGAAAATGTTAAGTAAAATTAGTTCAATATATTCAGGGTGTACTGATTGTCTAACATAAGATGAGATTTGACAGGATACGTTGCGTAGGTAGATTAGGTACTTATGTAGGTAATTATGTAGGTAGGCTAGGTATGCAGTTAGGCAGATAGGTGAGCTAAGTAGGTTGTCATGTAGGAAGGCTAGGTAAGTAGTTATGTAGGTAGGCTAGGTACTTAGTTATACAGGCTTGTATAGATAGGCTAGGTAAGTAGTTGAGTAGGTAGGTAGTTAGATAAGGTGCATAGCTACGTTTGATAAACTAGTTAGGTGGATAGATTAAGCAGGTAAGTTAGGTAGATAGTCAGGTATAAAGGTGTGGCTAGAATTGTTTAAATCTGCAAGTGTCTTAAAATACAAAGAAAAATAGACCTGCTTGTATCGAGTGTAAATAACAGCTTTTTATTCGAGATTTCATTTTAGAGAAAATCGACTATATAAACTTGCTTCATACGTAGAAAGTTACAAACAAATAGGCTACCTTAAGAAAAAATATGGTACCTAAGATGAAATAGCCTTATTACTTGTTTATTTTTAACGATTTTTGGAGATTTTACAGTTTCGGGACTTTGGAATTTGATGATCTATACATATGAAAATAGAGATATATCGCAAACTTTTAACTTTGCAACATGTTCTTAAAATTACAAATTCTCTAATTCTCCAATTCATAAATTTTTTAAATTTCTATATTTGAAAATTTTGAAAATTTAAAATTTTCAGAATGCCAAATGTGGAAATCTGCAACTCCCATATTTCCAAGTCCTTATACTTCCAAATTTTTTAATTTTTAAATCATCAAATTTTCAAATTTATACATTTCTAAATTCTTTTCTAAAATTTCTAAAATTCTCAAATTCTCAAATTCTCAAATTCTCAAATTTCCCAAATTCCCTAATTTTCTAATTTCCATACTTCGAATTTCTAAATACTCTAATTATCAAATTTCTAAATTTTTGAATTTCGTAAATGTCCTATGATATGTTTATACGTGTGTCAAGTAAATCTTTAAAGTCGATTTTCTGGAAAATGAAATGTCAAATGAAAAAATATTATTCTATATTTTCGACTTATTTTTTTCAGATAGAATCAGGCTTTATGACTGTACCATAATACCGCCCTATATATTTATAACTTGGCGAGAAATGCTATATTTTTGGACAAATAAATTAAAATTAACATTTAATTTTAAAACAATTACGTATTCTAAAAGATGACATTCATATTCTGTGTTGAAATGATTATAATAAATATCCTCTGTATTTACCAATGTAATAATTTTTTACCTCTACTTTCTGCAGAAAATACTGAAGTGATCAATTGCTCAATAATTCAAGATTTTTAATTCTCCTTTTTTATTTTAAAAAAGAAATATTTAAAACTGCAGAAACTTCTATGCCAGAAATTATATGAATATTTCTTAATATATATGTGTTAACACTTCAAATGTATAAATATTGACATTGGTTTCTTTTTTGCACCTAGCCATTAACATATATTAATTCTTTCATATACGAATTTCTCTGAAAAGTGTAAACAGGTTTTGTTATGGATCTTTAACTATGCAATGGCTTTTTCCGACCTATCTCGATTTTATGCCTTAAAAAACTTTTGTTATTGTTTAAAAATATATAATTGTTATGTGGCTGTTTCATTTTTTGCGTTATATTAAAAGTTCATTATTTGGGTTCATATGATGCATCTTCATCAAAAATTGTTATGAATAATTTCTTCTTAGATGTATTTAATACTTTATTGCATTATTTCACAAATATCGTACATAAAATAATATGATACGACATGCAAATATTTTGTCAAACAAACATGAAATTTCTGAATTAAAACTATTGAAAATATTTTTTGTTGTCCCTTCTTAAAATATTTCAAAGTTTCAATACTCTATCATTTTCTCGAAATAAATTTCTTAAGTACAAAATATGTATTCATTGTTATTTTTTATTACTTTATTACTTGTAAAAGGTCTAAAACATATCTCTTTCAAAATGAAAAAAGAATAACAATGAATTAATTATAGTTGAAATGAAAGAAATGATATTACTAAAAGATTTACGTGAAATTTGAGTATTTTATGAAATTGGTTTCATCGAGAAATACATTTATCTTTTAGTTTTTGTACAGTGAATCATGTTCTGTATACAAAGTATTAAATATAGAAGAATTAATTTTGAATTACTGCAACCTAAAAATACAGGCAGATTCTTTTGTATAAATATGTGGAAAGTTTATTTACAAAACTCATATGATACCGAAGCGGTTATAACATGTTAATAACGTTTTTGCGTACAAAAGGTTTCAAGGTGAATTCTATTTTTGTAGGTTTAGGTGAAATCGCATATTTCATTTTCCATTGTCGTGATGCCCAAAGCTACGAGTAACTAAAAATATATCTTGAAATCGAAAGAAATGTAAAAAACATTACTACAAATACATCTGCATTACAAATGTAACCTTGACTGCTATAATATATATGAATTTTTATAATTTACCACGAATTACTAATTTAAAAGTGAACTTTCATACTAGGAAAGTATTTTTTTCTACGGTAGGAGTGTTATAATTATTCAATAAAACTACATTGATTAATAACAAGAATATCAAAGTTCAAGATAAAACTGTGTTGTTTATTCCTCGAAAATAAGTAATATAAACTTCTATTTTTCGTTTCCATGTAAAATATTTTCCTCATGCAGAATATTTAATGTTTTAACTAAACAACGGATATTATGTAAAACAAGAGAGTGGTTTCTGTTTTTAATCGAAAAGTCCACATTGCAAACATGACATTTTCAGTAACCGGTTTTATACACGTAATTGTTATGCTTAAGCTTCACCCGTAACAATATGTCTTTATTCAGAGACTATGAAAATATGTTTTCTAAGAGTAAAATAAAGACATTTTTACATCTATGGTTTGGATTAAACAACGAGATTATTTATAAAAGCAAAGCATTAATTTAAATATTTAATAGTGTAATTTATTTCAGTAAGTTTTGCGTACAATAATAGTTTATTCGCTTATGTGTACGTTTTTGTTGCAATTTATTTACGCTGTTATCTACGCTTAATACTAGTACTGTTGTTTTTAGTATTAGTTGCAAGTACTTATTGTTAATAGTTATTAGTGTCACACAGTAATTACAAAGTATTCATTATTGATAACTATAATTAACAGTTTTCATATTAGTAATGTCACTGTTAACATTACTTTTGCGTAATATTATAGCTAGTATTAACAACATTGTAACTAATATTGGTAATTAATACTGGTAATATTGCAGATAATAATAATTAATAGCTATTAATTTTACTAAGGATGCCACAAGTGGTATACATTTATAATACTTGAAATTGTATCAGTCATGATATAATTAATTGTTAATAATTGTAATTATTAATTATTATTAGCTGTCGCAGTAAAAATTGACGTATAACACAATAAATTACAATAATGATCATCGAAATACAATGAATTAATATTTAAATTTACTACGATACATTATTCATTTAATACATATACTATTATAAATTTTTTCCGTTTTTGAAATTTTGATTACTCAATTACTTGGAATTTGAAGTATCGATCGCCGATGACCGTCATGATAGTCTTCGTGCTAATAGCTATTATTATTACTGATGGAATTAGTTAGTGACAGTTATCGGCAATAATAACAAGTAATTTTTAGTAACATTACATTCAATTGTTATTAATATATTAATTTTATTTTTGTTAATACTATCTTATTACTACACTATTTTATTACTAACATTAATAACTATTAGTCATATTTACCGATTAGCAGCACTGATGTTTGTATTAGTAATGTGTCAGTTTGAGTAACAAGTAATTACATTTAATAGTTATTAACATCGGTAATAACACAGCTAGTATTAATTGTAAGTTACTAATACTACGACCGGTATTACTGCAATTATTCTATTTTTATTAAATACCATAAATATTAAACTTTACATGTTTGAATATTTCACAATGTATTACAAAATATTTACTTGAAAGTACGATATGTATACAATGTTCATAGTAAACAGAATGAAAACATGTGCAGTGTAAGACACAGGAAGGCTCAAGGTCCATTGGTTGCGTGGATCGACGTACCGTTGATTAACCATGTCTATTAATATCAACCACGTTTCGAATTCATCAATTGTTCATACAAGAATAAAAAAGATAATAATTACTTCACCTATAATTCTCTAATAATACTTGAACCATAATTTATAATCGTTTCCTAAATCTATCACGATATTTATATCAGTTATAACGGTTAACACAAATCTGTTTTAAAAATACTTGTACAAAAGAACAATTCTATCTGTGATATAGTCATTCAGACGTCTGATATCAAATCTGTTTGATCTGAAAGATTAGATAAGGTTAATTTAAAATTCTATCGATTTTACATGTATAAAGTACAGACTAGTTTTATCGAGATGAAAACATATCGAGCAATAAGAAATTATTATATCAGTACTCTTATTAATTCCTATTACTTCTTATTAGAACATAAGAATTGTACTAACGGAACTCCACATAGTTCTAAAATTGATTCGTGATACACGTAGAAGCACTGCTTCGAAAGCAGATTAAGATGCACTGGTGTAGTGATACCACGTTTCTTAGAATTATTCAGCGCATACAACTGCAACAGAACCGTGTAAACCTGGTATCACGTTTCATTCTTATCAACTAATTTTGAGAAAGGAAATACAATGCTTTATTGCAACATTTTTTCTTCTCGGTATAACGGTGATAATACATGTCACGGATGAACAACAGTGCATTTCAGTTTATCTCGCTATTTAAACGTTATATAAGTGATAACTTAACATTAACACTGAGTAAGAAAGAAATATCCTCGACGCGATTCTTACAAAAGCAATGCATAAATAAATTACCCT